CGGATGGGAATCTTGTGAATTGTTTTGGCAGAATTAAGACTTTAGGGTTAGTGTTAGGGTTAGAATTGGGGTTTATAATAAAAAAGGTTTAATTTTGGCAAGTATAATTCGGGCCAAAATTACCAAATTCTCATCCGGGAATGTCCCGATTCTGAATCGTGACAGATTCCAATTCGGGGTACAACATATATATTCTTTTATGTTGTTCCATTTTACTTAACACAACACAACAAAGTCCTTGCACTGCTGTTGCAGCCGCGGAGCTTAATAGATACAAAACAAGAGCAGAAGCAAGCTTTAGTAATTGGGATCCACGACTGCGGTGATGGTACGAAACCTTATTTTTGTAGTAACTAATCTCTGAGGCTGCAGTAGCAGTGTGAGGACCTTAAAAGTTGGCTCCGCGGCTGCAGTAGCAGTGCAAGGACCGTGTTTTTAGGCTCTATGGCTACCGTAGTAGTGCATGGACCATTGCTAAATAGGTTATGGCTCCGCGGCTGAAACAATAAGCTACTAATTGATGCTTTATTCAATGCATAAATTGCCAATGTTTATAATGATCGATTAATTAAATTTGTTCCGACCCAACAATGACATTATGGTATTTTGACATAACGGAATTACAGTTACGGCATTACGATTATGGCATTACGACTCAGAAATTATGGCAAATAATACGGCACATGCAATAACCGTATTAATTTACCAAATGAATTCTGCCACCAACTACACTTGGTATACGAATGTAGGTGGTTACGGGTTGGTATCTCGCTTATGTACTGGTTATCGAATGCAATTCATGTGTTACGTATTTGGGTTACTTTATGTTCGTATTAGGTCGTTACAGGTTACTTTTTATATGATATTTCCAAGATCGAAGCCAAAGTGTCACTTATTATTATCAAGCCAAAGTGGTAAAGCTGGGTTGATCGCCATATTTATACATTTTGAATTGCAAGGCTGGGGTGTCAAACCTGGATCTCGGGTATCGAACCCGGATCTGGGGTTTCAAACCCAAATCCAGGGTCTCGAACCCGTGCCTAAATACTACCTAGTGTAATATATATATAGAAAAAATAAAAGAACATACATGCAAAGAAAACTCGAAAAGTTTTCGTAACACTGCCTTTTAAAGCCCCGAGGATCCCTATGCTTTTGCAATATTTTAAAGGTCTTTTTTAAAACTGATTGTTTTTTAGATGAGAAAAAACACTTTTTTTAAATATAAATCGGCTCTGGAATATCATATTCAAAACTGCAATTACCGGTACATAAATTCTAATTTATTAAACCTTAAACAAATTACCACACATACGAATTCATACATAGCAATTCAAGTAGTTAAAATTTTACCTTCATCTATTAGTTTTAGTCCATAAATGTAAACAATGCTTAAAATACCTAATACGTTACTACCTTTGATTTAAATTTTTCACAAATGACATTAATTGCAAAAAAAATTCAGAAATAGTGCTTGCACTCAAAAGACTCCACTAACTTGTTGATGGGATTTTCATCTGAAAAATCAAGCTCTTCTATATATTGATAGCCTAATTCCAAAAGATTAGGAATACTTTTATAATCATCAAACCCTATCGGTTCTTCAAAAAAGATTTGCCATCGTTGATAGAGATTTCCTAACCTACTGAACATTTTACGATCTGTATCAAATTCTTGTACAGAAATCGTAGAATGATTTTGTGTCCAAAAAAGCAAATCTCTATATTGATCGGGCATTGAAGGATCTGGTATATAACATCCTGTGCCTAGAGAAAGTACCGATATTTTTTTATTTGCCACTTTATATCGTATCGCTTCTTCATAAGCAATTAATGCTGGGTTATTGAGATATATTCCTCCATCCAAAAAAGTACCTTTATTCTTGATTTTATGAGGCGGGAAAAAAGTAGGTGCAGCTGTTGTAGCCATTAATGCATCAAAAAAAGTGTCGTTTTCTTCATTTTCACGAGCATCATAGCGAGTAAATAAATAAGATTTTGTCGAGTAATTTTCATATGTAGCAGGAATAACCAATTCAGTAAGTGAATGGGATAATCTTGTTTTATCAAAATATTTTGTAAACATAGTAGAACGACCTTCATTCGTATATTTATCGGTTATGTTGAATAAGCTCCGCCCTTTAGTGAATAATTTTTCTAAATCATTTTTGTAAATATTCAATAGTTCTGAAGCTGAAAATATCGGTCTTAAATCCGAATATTCGTATTCATTATAATCATTTATTTTAAATTGTGGTGCTGATAATCCAGCTGCAATTATCCCACCAGTTGATGTTCCTGCTATCATATTAAATAGGTGAGAAATGGGTCTATGAGTGCGATATTCCATCTCATTAAGCAATAAAGCAGGTAATACTCCACGTATTCCTCCACCATCAATTGACAAAATATTAAAAACAGAACACAAATCACTATGCGAATTTTTTATATAATCCATTTCATATGTTAATTCTCCTTTATAGTTGTTAATACGGTTTTCGATCATATTTTCTGCATCAAATTTTTTGGCAAGTTTTTTATATTTATCGGGAAAATTACTTTTAGGATCTAGCTTCAATGCCTCAGCATTGCAAATTATAACTTCTTTATACTTTTTATGCTTAAAATAAGCTATACTTCGATAATGCCAGTATTCAGGTGAAGAATTTAATACGGGGCATACATCAGAAAGATCGATAACTTGTGTGTATTTAGATAAGTTTAGTAAGCATCTTGCAAATCCAAGTGAATAATTCGGATTGCCAGGATCCATCTCACGTGCTGTTTCATAACTTTCTTGAGTACGTTGCCAATAACGTAAACTGTCTAACTTGTTAGTTTCAGCTGCTTTTTCAGCCTTATGCTGTAAATAAATTGCTTTATCATTGTGAGGCTTTTTTTCCTGATTAAAAGACAGTTGATTATCCAAGTAATTAATATATTTGTCATTCGACTCCTGAGCCAATTGCGTTGCAGCGGGTAATATGGCAGGAAATGTCAAAGATTTATCAGGTAAATTCTCTCCACTAGTTATCCACAAGACATTCTCCAAAGCTTCTAAGCGTGCTTCAGTTTCGCTAACGAAATGATGATTTTCTATTGTCGATTCTCGAATCTCCTTAATGATTTTGGTGGCTTCTTCAAATGCATCCCTTGAAAATTCTGTTATATTCAATATTATAATATTAATCCTTGCAATGTTATGTATTTCTTCTAGTCTTGAATAGAATGGCATTTCTAGAGAGTCTTCTGCGTGCTCTAGAGCCAATCTTGTATTCTCTCTCGATAAATATTGAATCTACAGCTTTACCAAAAGTACTTTTAAAAAATCTCTTATAATCACCTTTACTTGTTTTTCTTAACTCGCTAGTACAGTCATCTAACTTTCTTGCCTCCTCAACAAGTTCATCACTTAGCGCCTCTTCAAAACATCTCTTTGCTTGGGTTTTAAGATCAGTATATGTGCCATTTATTTTTGTTTTTCCACTATATATGACCTCCCCAAGCAGAACAAGTAGATATGCAATACCATCTGATCTAAAACCATGCTTTATAAGCTTCTTCACTATATCATCTATTCCTTTAATTTTATTGCGGCTTATTATGAGGCTTATGTGATTATTTTCATCATATTCTTCGGAAAGTGCATTGATGAACTCCTGATATTTTCCTTTATCATAGGCGTTTACTGCCTTTTTTATTATTTAATTGAGCCTTTCTCGAAGTTTTGGCTCTTTTAACATATTTTGTCCTTTTTTAAACAGACAATAACCGCCATATAATCCAAGAGCAATCGAAGCTGCTCCAGCAATTAATAAAATTGGACCACCTAGAGCGTAATTCCAGTTATGAATACTGCTTTATAAATATTTATACTGGCACCTATGACCGCTGCTGCTCCTCCTACTCCACCACCTCCCATAGTTACACTTCCTTTAGCCATATACATCTTTGCATGCCTTGTTGTACGCAAAATTTCCTTGTGTGATGATTGATAATGAACCATACTACGATCCGCTCCAACCAATAATTTAAATGCAATATTTTCTAAATCTTTATTGATTGAATTCCGAATAATCCTTATGCCATTAAAGGAGATCACTTGGTCTTTTGCTCCTATTAAAACCATCGCATTATTGAATTCACTATTTAATTCAATATCAGTACTCGAATCGAGTAAATCGGGCGACGCATACTTTTTCTCCTTCTCTCTCTCTCCTCCTTTTCCCTTAACTTTATCAAATATTTTTTTTGCTTCATTTAATTCCTGTAACGTAAAATTATTCTGATTCTGAATTTGCAAATGAATTGCCGCCAAAGCATATAGCTGAGCTGTTAGAAAGTCTTTTTTTACAAAGTATTGGCATAATGCCATATATCCACGTAATTTTACTTGTCTTTTTAATAATTTATTTTTATCCGCAATTTTGCATGCCGCTCGATATTGATGATAGGCTAAGTCTCCCATATACGTGCTTTCTTGCTTTAATTCTTCATCAGAAAGCTCCTTAATATCATCTTCCTTTAACACTCTTAGCTTATTCCATTGTCCTTTTGACGCATTATGATAATCCATCGTGATTTTCCAAAGGTCATTTCCGTATTTTTCGTAGTCATTTACGTCATCCTCGAATTCTGAAGCACACCTATTTGTCAACTTATTCAATAAATGCTCTTTGAGCCCGAAAATTAGTTTAAATAACTCATCACCTTGACTTTTATATACTCCTTGAAGCCCCAATGGGCAACATGAATTTTTTGTTCTATCTGGATGAAAATATGATCCAAGAACTCTAGCACGTTTATTAATCTCCTCTTCTGTATTTATAACGTTTCCAAATAATAACTCTCTTTTATTTGAATAATTCGATACAAACGAAATAAATTCTGTTCTTTTTAAATATGCCACATCACGTGCCAATGATTTTAGATTTTTCAGACAATCTAATAACTCTGTACTAATATTTTTCACTTTTGAAGGTTTGTGGTTAAGTTTTCCTACACCAATGCTATCATCCGAAGTCTCAGAAGCTTCCAGAAAGATTAACTTTTCACTGATTAAATTGTCAGCTAATTTACACATATAATTCTCATATTTTATGGTTTCACCGTAGCCTTCAAAGGTCGTAATTACTCGATTAAGTTTTTCAAAAATTTCTTTTATTCCATCAATAACTTTATTCGCTAAATCAGGTTCAGTTAATTCGTTTATTAAACTTTTACTCGTACTTTCAAAAAGTTCGTCGAATTTCTTTAATAGGTTGTTGACCTCTTCAACTTTCTCATTTTTTAATTGTTCGTTGACTTCCTTAACTTTCTTATTTTTTAATGGTTGGTTGACTTCCTCGACTTTCTCATTCTTTAATGGTTGGTTGACTTCCTCGACTTTCTCATTCTTTAATGGTTTGCTGACTTCCTCGACTTTCTCATTCTTTAATGGTTTGCTGACTTCCTCGACTTTCTCATTCTTTAATGGTTTGCTGACTTCCTCGACTTTCTCATTCTTTAATGGTTGGTTGACTTCCTCTACTTTCTCATTCTTTAATGGTTTGTTGACTTCCTCGACTTTCTCATTCTTTAATGGTTTGCTGACTTCCTCGACTTTCTCATTCTTTAATTGTTTGTTGACTTCCTCGACTTTCTCGTTCTTTAATTGTTTGTTGACTTCCTCGACTTTTTCATTCTTTAATTGTTTGTTGATTCCTCAACGTTTTCATTCTTTAATAGTTTGTTGACTTCTTCTACTTTCTCATCTTTACGATTACAGTCTTGATTAACGATAACATCTTCAAGCAATATTTTGAATGGCATTTTTTCGGAATGAGTATTCGAGTATTTTTCGAAATTTTTTGCTAATTTTTCTTGTTTATTAGCACTTTCCATATTACCAATCGTTTTTAAGTAGCTGTTATATTTTGTGTGATATTTATATCTATATAACCCATGTTGGCTCTCGTCATCAACTTCGATATCACTAATTAGTATAAAAACATCCTTGAATTTTTGTTCTACTTCCGAATGATTCTGAATGTTATCTTGGAGCTGAAATTCAATTAAAGTTTCTATGTCTAAAAAAATATCTTCAATTTGAGAGGCCATGTTTTGAATTAATTTTCTATCGTTAAATTTTTAAATGCGTTTTCTTTAACGATGAGGGTCGAATCGAAATAGTCAAATTTATTACTTTATGTCAAAAAAAAAACAAAAACAGCCCAAACCTATTATGTCAACAATGGGATTTATTCTAACTTTACTGGTATTTTTGCAAGATTCATGTGGTAGTTTTGCATTTTCGTATTGTGACTCTGCATACTGTATTTAACCTATTTGAGTGCACTATTGAAAGCAGGACCTCTGAATTAGTTCCTATTGCATAAAAATTTCTCACTTCTATGTTGGCGTGCTCTCATGGGCTAAAATTTTCACAGGAGGTCCCAAATTTCCGGGTCGGATCCATCAGACTTAGGCGGCATTTAGCAACAGGGGGAACGTCGATGTTACACGATATCTTGGAGCTGAAATTCAATTAAAGTTTCTATTTCTAAAAAAATATCTTCAATTTGAGAGGCCATGTTTGAATTAATTTTCTATCGTTAAATTTTTAAATGCGTTTTCTTTAACGATGAGGGTCGAATCGAAATAGTCAAATTTATTACTTTATGTCAAAAAAAAAACAAAAACAGCCCAAACCTATTATGTCAACAATGGGATTTATTCTAACTTTACTGGTATTTTTGCAAGATTCATGTGGTAGTTTTGCATTTTCGTATTGTGACTCTGCATACTGTATTTAACCTATTTGAGTGCACTATTGAAAGCAGGACCTCTGAATTAGTTCCTATTGCATAAAAATTTCTCACTTCTATGTTGGCGTGCTCTCATGGGCTAAAATTTTCACAGGAGTTCCCAAATTTCCGGGTCGGATCCATCAGACTTAGGAAGCATTTAGCAACAGGGGGAACGTCGATGTTACACGACTGATCTTTCACCCTTATAAAAAAATTATTTTACAATCACTCCGCTAGTACATGTTATGATTATAATCCAACACCATTTTATTATAATAAAAATGGGGTTGGATTATAATCATAACATGTATTAGCGGAATGATCTGGTATTGTAAAATAATTTTTTTATATGTTGCACACCGGGTGAAGGATCAGTCGTGTAACATCAACGTTCCCTCCTGTTGCATTTAGCAATACAAGTCAACCGTTTCTGGGCTAAAATTATCAGCTGGGTGATTTTTTAACTAATGAGTGGGCTATGACTTCATTAGTAAAAGTAGCTAATTCCGACCCTGCCGACCATGTTTCCGAGGTATTCCGACCCGGAAATCCGAGGATCTCCCCGTATGAGTTGTGTTACAACAAAGGAGACTTTACTATTGTGCTGCCAATTTAATTGTTGGTCGTAAGCATTAAAAATAGGAAACCAATTATTTATTACTATGCACAAGACAATAAAAGTACTAAAAATGTAACCGATACAAGTATCTTCCCAAAAGTGTACCCGGTACACAAAGAATCCTCTAAAATACTAATTAACCTATTCTCTATTCCAATTGAGCAAAAGAAGAACCTCCCACTATTTACAAAGAATAATCCTATTTACACTCGTTCTATTAGACCAAATAAGCCAAGAAATTATTACGATATTTTTTGTAACAGTTGACGCGCATGAGCATCATTTTAAAACTCGTACAGGGAAGTCCCAGATTTCCGGGCCAGAATTAGGGATGGTAAAAAAACAGTTTAAAACATTTTTTCACCTGTTTAAAACATGTGATAATTAAAGTCCGAATACTGATTTAAATAATGCTCACCTGTTTTTTAATTTATTTTCACCTATTTTTAATTACGTAATAAAAAACATTTGCCATCCCTAGCCAGAATACCACGGAATCATGATCGGCAGGGCCAGAATTAACTAATTTTTCCCAAGATCACTAAAAGTTTTAATAATTAAGTCATAGCACACTCATTAAGTAAAGCTGCCTAACTGATCATTTTGGCCCAAACATGGTTGACTTGTATTGCTAAACACCGGCCTAAATCTTACGGATCCGACCCAGAAATTTGGGGCCCTCCTGTATGAAATCATTTATGCTATTTTCAAAAAGTACGGATTTTCTAAATAACGTTATTTCGCGTTAATACGATATTTAAAGTTTAGTAAAGTTTATATTTTTAATCGAATTTTTAACCGAGGCTCAAAATTTCAGCATCACGCTATTGCATCATTCGAATATATGATCCGATTTGTACCACCGAAAATTTTGTGAATTACAAATTACATGAAACTAGTTTACTGTTACTGAAACTACGTAAGGTTATCTTTTAAACTGTTTTGCAGGCAAATTAGCCTGCAAATTTTTGATCATAATTGTTTTTGCTAGTACTGTAGTACAGTCAGTAATATGAATACTGGGCATACTACTTGCATAGAGCTTTTAGCCGATACTACCTTTAACCATTTTCAATGGCGCCATGTCTTTATTTTATCTTCAGTTTGGTGAAATAACCCTGTAAAAGTCGCGTATATATAAATTACGTGCTGTTATCAGGTGTGTTATTTATACTATTTATACTTGTCAGATTAAATTAATAATGAGATTTAAAAACATATATCCGACAAATTCTAAACGACACATCCATGATTGATTAGACCATTTAAACACGACTTTAACGGGGTAAATATGTGCGATTATTGGATAAATTGTTGCAGGCAAATTTACCCACATCAGTTTACAGTTTAACTTAGGCTGAGTGTTTGATCATGTGATATGATTAGTGATGTGCCGTTTATATGATAGCCCAATTTTTTTCGCGTATAGTACGTACAGTACGTACAGTACGTTGTGACAGGTAAAATCGGTATAACACTAAAAACTACGCTAACCAGGGTCACTACTACACTAAAATCCAACACAAGTACTACTAAATTTAATAATATCTTTCCTCTACACCCTATGTGGTAGGCTTCGATTGAGGCGTGGATTGATTTGGTCCGAGAATAGGGTCAATTTGAGCTCTAGACTACGTCACGAATTTCTTTATACAGAATCACGGGATTTGGTCACTATTTCCAATCGTTATTACAGATTTTAATTATCGGGGGGGGGGAATCACAAGTTAAATACTTTGATTTCTTTTACTTGGAACTTCCAACTCAAGGGAGTTATCCTTTATTTACAGCGAAATACTTGCGTTTAAATACATTTTACCCTATACTAATTTACTACGGATTTTTCTACCGTTGCGACCATATCTGCCATAACTGCCATAACTGCCATAACTGCCAGCTAGTGTGGCTTTTTACCCAATTTGGTTAAATCGACTCGAACCACTTCGACGTCGATCCTGTACGACTTTTCCCTTTCACAACATACAGTACATACAGTATATACAGAGTTGGTCAAATTGTTGGTTAATTAAAAATTTGCTAGTCAATGGTCAAATGGTCTTTGGTTAAACTGGTTTGGTCAAATTGGTCAATTGATTTAACTAATCAGATTAAAGAATTAAATTATATAAATTTTTATTTAGTATAAAGTTGTAAAGCAGATTGTTATAATTCTAATAGTGGTTAAAACATCAAAATCGGTCTACTAGATCATGAGATATGCATAAAAATGTCTTTAAAACATATATAAAAATCTTTATAAAAATATATATATATATTTTAAAGATATTTTTATACATATCTTATGATCTAGTAATCCGATTTTGATGTTTTAACTACTATTAGAATTATAACAATCTGCTTTACAACTTTAATTAAAACCAGAGAATAGGTTTACTTAGTAAAAAAATAACTTTTATTGATTTGACCAATTTGACCAATTTGATCACTTTGACTATCCCTTAAACCGTCTAGTGGCCAAATTTGGCCGCTAAAATCTTTTTTTTTGATTTTATGCGATTGTGCTTGATTTTTCTAAGCAATTGTACCCTTTTTCCTAAGCTCGAATTAAAGTTTGCTATTTTGCAGATCAATTTATGATTTCATATCACGTTATGGTAGTATATGATATTATAATTACGTGTTAGTAGTACAGCGATTATCTTTTGATCGCTATCAATTAAAATCAAAAAAATTTACAACTATGCCAAAGGCGAGTTCATCCTCGCATTTACCCCTACCTGAAGAAGATACTGAGATATTTTCTGATAGTGAGGACAAAGAGTACATACCAGTTCTGACGTCCTGGCAATGTTTTTCAAACCACCTGGGGTTAGACGATGAAAAAGAAGACGAAGTTGTTAAAAGTGGTAGTAAGAAGGGCCGCAAACAATCAAAAAACGTATCTAACTTGCCACCACCACCTTCAGATTTTGAATCATTGGTTCATTCAAAAAATTTACACCAGGCATTTATTAATTTGCCACCAAATTATGAAGTCGGTTTCTCAAAACCAATCAACCTTTTTTTCTTTTTTTTATGAACATTTTACTGGACAAAATTGTCCTCAATACAAATTCATATGCATTAATCAAAGGTGCTGGCCTTGCTGGAAAACAGTGAAAAAATATAGATCGTAAGAAGCTTCTTACCTGGATTGCCCTTGTCATTTACCAGGGGTTTTTGGGCTATCTTCACTTAATAATTACTGGAATGAGGACCTGAAGCTCCCCATTCACAATATTTCTAAACAAATGCCGCTGAAACGTTTTTAACAAATCAAGAGGTACCTTCATATCTCTTCTCTGCGGCAGATATTAATCATTACTTTGAAAAATTAGAGCCACTGCTTTCCCACATTCGAGACATTTCTAAACAACTTTACACACCAGCCTCAAACATCTCGGTTGATGAAATGATGATAAGGTTTTCCGGCAAAAGCGTCTACACCATTCGAATTAAGAACAAACCAACCCCAGAGTAGTTTAAGGTGTTGTCGCTTTGTGATTCCAGATATATATTCACTTTTTTGCCTACGTTGTGTGTCTCCCCAAGTGATATAAAAAAAGTGAAAGGGCTTAACCAAACTAGTTGTATGGTCTATTATCTTGTCATACAACTTCCGTATCGTCAATTCCTATTTAATATTTATATGGATAACTACTTTTCTAATGTTTCTTTTTTCCAGAATCTTT